GAAGCGGTCGTGCTGCAGGCCAAAGCCGCCGCCGAGGCTCTCGACAACTGGCAGAGGCAGGGTTCGCCGCCGTCGTCTCGGACGATGCAGAAACGTACGGCTCGGGGCGCTCCACACACACGGTTGCAAGGTCTTCGGGCCATTGCGGGCAGGCAGCACTGGGATAATGGGTCCGCTGGCGCCTATCCCGGATCTCATCCGGATGTTCCGACCCTACCCGATATACAGTAGGGGGTGCTACCGAAACGGCAACGATTTGCGAGTATTTTTCTTTGGAGGGGATCTCGAGACGAACGTCCATGCCAACGCGCTTCTAATGGTCGGCGTCGCCGTCGACGCTTCCATTGCAGCGCGTCTGTTTGCGGCTCGTGGCGCGCTCTCACAGGTCTCGGGCGTCGACGCCGAGGCGTGGCATCGCTTTGCGTCCGAGGCCCCGTTCTTGTCCGTATCGTGCGCCCGCATCGACGCGCCGACTCGTTCCAGGACAAGCGGCGCGTGCTCGACGCCCTCGAGTGTCTTTTGGCTCTGCCCAGCGACGAGGACGTCGTGGCCGCTGCGCGCGGCGTGCTGTTTGACGTCGACGGCCGACTGCGCACCCTCGGCTACATGCTCGTGGCCTCGGGTGCCGAGACCGCGCTGGCCCAACTAGCACTGGATACGCTGGGCGACGCCACCGAAGCCGCCGTCGCTGGTGCCGTTGTGGCACATGAGAGCGCTCTCGACACGACGTCGGTTCGAAAGCTACTCCTCGACGAGACAACGACACTGGCACCGGCGCTCACACTCGCACTGCTGCGTCTGGTGCCTCCCTACGACTCGAGCTTGCCCTCGTTGTCATGGTCCTCGGTACGTAATGCTCCATTTCTAAAGTATTTCTATTTGGTATAAACACTGATTGTAGCTGATTGTAGCTCTTGTTGATGGAGATACCCGTTAATGTCTGCAGTCGGTTTGCGCACTCGGTCCCCGGCCTCTCGAGGACCGCTCAAGGGCACTTGATCAGAATTCTTGCCCGAGGCGCCACAGAGGCCAAGCACAATCCGTTTCGCGCGGCGGTCGAGCACACAACGATCTCGAGGCCGACGAGAGTATGTTGACGGTCTTGCCACGCCTCGGCGCCGGCGCGTGTATGGAGCACTGCGCCAAGACGGAGATCCCCTCGCACGTCATGACCTACGCCCAGTTTATTCTCCCGCTCCGCCTCGGCGACGCGCAGCACAGCGTCCATGCGCAAGGTCAGAGTCCATATGATGGAATCGTAGGTC